CTACTCTCGCATGGATAATACACCAACAAAAGTATAACACAAACTAGCTTATGTAGTAAAGGTTTTCCACGTTAAAAGTATTTTCTACATTATCACCTGACAGGTGTCTGCTGCTTGCTTACATTCAACATCAAATCTCATCGTAAAGCTGGCAGAAATGTTATAGCCTATGTTGGTTTGGTAGCTACATTATTTTCACACTGCCATGAAATAATCGTGAAACTAATTCCGTGGGAATATTGACTGTGCAAATGCACTCGGGCTTTTGTGTTGGATGTCTGCACACTTATGGGTGTGGGTGGACGTCGGGACCTTATTTAAGCCCACGGGCAATAGCACAACCAGTGGCATGCTGCATCTTTGAGAAGATCTTGATCATCGTCGTCAATGCCCTTCCTCTGTTATCTAGAAGCGTCAATAATGAGGCGTACAAACCATGACGCACGGTTTTTATAATGAGATATCTAACATGTTGGACCTCCGTAAGCGTCAGCTAGTTTATATAATTATACAATTGTACGAAAACTTTGTGATCGGCATCATGCAGATAGTAATGTAACAGCTAAAGGTGAAGCCCTGCAGTTGCTTGCTCTCCATTAGAGTGTGCTCGATGAAGTCCCTCTCGAGGGTATGTTGGCCTACTCTTCCATGCTGGGCGAAGCTAATGGAAGATGTGAGAATAGCACACTTTACGCCAGCACGCACAACATGCCTTATCGGCTCACCGTGGGTATTTATACTGCTGGGTGGACAGGGGTCGTAGATTGAAGATACGTGCCCTTTGTTGAAACTGATCGACAGGATGAACGGGTGATCTCTGGATTTGCAAGTGCTGTGTGCTAAGCATTGCACCACAGCAGCATCCCTAGACGATAACATGCACAGTATTTACATTCTACAGACGAGATAGCCAATCGCAGGCAGAAGACGCGAGGAAAGTGTTGAACCTCAATGTGAACATGGGGCAAGTGAGTCGACGGTCCGGACGGCATGGGGGAGGGAGTTCCATATTGGTCGGACAGATTTGACCTTAGTGGCCCGTGAAAAAGCAAAGAGTGTGCCTGGTGAGATACACTATTTGCTTTTAGCAGATATATAGAACAAATTCTACATTTTTGTTAAAGTTGCCTCTGTACCGTAGGGACACGACATTTCTGTGATGTGCTGAGAGATTACAAATGAAAATAGGTCTCGAGTCGGTGGTGAGTGCTTCTGCATTCAATGCGCTAAAGGTCGGTACATTGACAAAAGATAAAAACAAATAAGTGGGAACCAGAGTAGAAGAGACACGGTTTAGATTTCACACAACCAGGATGATGCAGCAGTTCGTCGAAAATGCAACAATTATTATTAGTACATTGTTAGAATGCAACTTTAGCTTCATTGTTCAATATTTGCAGAGAAACGTTTCATAGCGCAGTTGTTGACCTCTTGAGTTCAGTGACCGAAGTTCGAATTCTGGCCACGGCTAACCAAACCGCATTGACCAGCATGGGGAAGTATGATCAAACAATTTTATCGTACTTTTTTGTTTAAACCGACATTTCAAAATACTAAAATATCAACGCCTCATTGAATAGTAATGTTTCACAAATGTTATGCACTAAAGATAAATGGTTTTGACTCAGTAATTCCGGACCGGCAAACAGGAGCAAATGACACTTGCTCCATTATAGCATTGTGTGATGTGATGTTGTGGCGATGATGATAGGTTATTGCAGCCTCATTACATTACTGTATATACCACATTTGCCTGGCAATTGCAAAAGGGGGCGCTCTTTATGTGCTGTATATATATGACTGAGAACATTTCTTGTTTTTTTCCCCAAAAATATTTCTCAAAGTATACATCTGTGTAGAAACACGTACAACTGACGTTTCGACACACACACACACGCGTACACTGCACGTGTTTTTGTTAGTTTTTTTTAATTTTATCCCGGCATGATATAAATCACCATGCATTTTGCTGACATTACGGGATGAGCATTAAGACAATTTACGTGCCGCGATATTGACAGCCCACGTATCGACACGCGGCGTGGCCGTGCATCGTTTCAGTTAATTAATTCCCCGCGTGGCTCGCGTGCAAGGGCTTTCGTTTCTCGCCAGGCATGTTGTTGACTTGAGTAGATGGGCACGTGTCTAGGTGTCTAGTAGCCACAGCCATAGCTGCATGTATACTGGATGTGGTGTGCAGGGCGCGGAATTATCCGGCCAGCCGTGCATATTTTTTTTTAAACTGTCAACCCTCGCAACGTACGAGAATATAAATTGAAGTCATTGTACCCTGCACGTGCACAATGATTGCACTGTGTAACAATATTTTTTTGTTCCTGGGTAGTGTTATTTCCTAATTGCTTATGCCTAACAAGTACAGAAAATGGCTATTATTCCCCACAAACTTTGATTTTGTGACCAGGACAGTGATATTTTGAAATGTACCTATTTTCCAGAACATTACAGATATATTCAGTGCTGAGCTAACTTGTAGTAACTTCTCGAACATTCTAGAACTTTCCAGTAATATAAATAGTAGCATAAATACAGGGGCCTTTCGCCCACCAGTTCAGTTTAGTTCCAGCTGCCTAAGTGGATACATATCTGCATTTTTCTGAGATGGCTTCAAGAGGCTGCAAGCATCTGGCAGACGCATTTTGCTATGTCTGCGGCCAATTTATCAAGACGAACGAAAAAGTACTCTGTGGAAGCATCTGCTCAGATGTGTGAGGCCTACAAGGCATATTTCGGCATGCCTGTCTGGGATCAAGACAAACCCGGGGCAATGCAAAAAAAAAGATAAGATGGACAATTGTTGCTCGGAATTTTATGTTATAAAATTTATTCCAATTTTTAAAATTGTAAAAGTTTTTAATTTAAAAATGTTTTACAATTTTCAATGTTATTGAAAAAAATATATCATATATGAAAAATGTTTCGAGAATCTCTTACATATTAGTCATGGGTAAAATAAATGTATTTTTGTAGGATGGTACAGAGGGGAAAAGAGAGCCATGAAGTTCGCTATCCCAAGAGTTTGTCGGGAACCCACTGACCACTCAAGCAACTGCTACTTCTGCATGGTGGACCCTTCCAAACGTCGGACTGGCAAGAATGCACCTGCTATCAGGTATCCGGACCTTCATCCATCGCCCTGGTGCCACACTGCCATGAGCTCCCTGTACCCACTCCAGAGCAGCCGTCTTTATAAGAGAGCAGCAAGTCAGAGAGCAGCAAGTCACAAAAATAATATTCAGGACCTACCTTGGCTCCTCCCACCCTCAACCAGTATATATATACAAATACTGCTTCTTGGAATTTCTCTCACTTGATACAGCTGTCGTGCTGTGACGGTTCCACCTGAAGACGGAAGCTTGTGTTGCCTCCTGAAACGTCGTGATTTTTTTTTATTTTACTTTTATTAATTTAATTTTTTACCTACGTGACTTTACCGAAAAAACCTAAGAATATGGTGTGGAATAATAGCCATTTTTTAATACTTTTTAGGCATAAGCAATTACGAAATAACACTTACTACCCAGGAACAAAAATTGTGCTTCATAGTGTTGTTGGTACACGTCCCATGTACACACACACAAACGCACAAACTATATCCATCAAGATCCCTGTCCCGTAGGATGTGTTTAACAATTATCATGCGCGTGCAGCGCGTTACGACGGAGGAGATTGCGTAACGTCAACAGACGTGTATCCACCGCGTAGTTGGTGGGGAAGGGAATTTTTGAATCTCTGTTTCAGGCTATTTTCTCTCAAGCTGTGTATTCCACCCACGGGAAATTGTCTCAGCTCGTCCGTTGCGCAAAACCTCAGTGTGCCCCCCCCCCCCCCCCATGATCTATGAGACGAGCAAAGCGTTGGGATGCCTTTGATGCTGCTATACTCATGCGGCATTGACTCCGTATTTTTGGAGTTAAAGCAAATTTCAACAGAACTCTATTTATGAGTATCCACGTTCAAATGTGTGTTGGCCCATTCGTCTATTGGAAATGTAGACCAATATCATCAAGCAGCGTTTGTATCAAGCAAGCCAAAGCCTGGACTGCTTTCGACTTTCTCGGTCTCATCCGTAAGTGACAGGTCAGGCGTGTTTAAACGAGTGAACACTCGTGTTTTTAGAACTGATTTTTTTGTATTTTAGATTGTTGTCCTTTCTCCACGCATTCAGCACGTTTGGCATACGTACGGTGCGAAAAAAGTTCAACATGAGTACAATGCCACTACAGATACCATTCCAAACAAAACACTGGAGGAGATTCTCGTTCAAAGCAACAAAAAAAGGCAACGTGCGCGAACGGTATTTAAAAACAAAACTAAAAAAAACTAAATCTAACGCGTCACTTGCGCCCGTCGCAGAGACCCCTCACGAAGCGGAGGGCGGTGGGGGGACGTGGAGATGAGGAGGAGGGGGGAGAGGAGGAGGAGGAGGGAGGGGGTGGAGGGGGAGGAGGGAGGGGGTGGAGGAGGAGGGAGGGGGTGGGAGGGGAGGAGGAGGGAGGGGTGGAGGGGGAGGGAGGGGGTAGAGGGGGGGAGGAGGGGGTGGAGGGGGGAGGTGGAGGGAGGGGGTGGAGGGGGAGGGAGGGGGTAGAGGGGGGGAGGAGGGGGTGGAGGGGGGAGGTGGAGGGAGGGGGTGGAGGGGGGGGAGGGGGTGGGGGAGGGGGTGGAGGGGGGGGAGGGGGTGGAGGAGGAGGGAGGGGTTGGGAGAGGAGGGAGAGGAGGGAGGTGGAGGAGGGGGGGTGGAGGAGGGGGTGGGAGGGGAGGGGGAGGGAGGGGGTGGAGGGGGAGGGAGGGGGTGGAGGGGGGGAGGGAGGTGGTGGAGGGGGGGGGTGAAGGGGGAGGGAGGTTAAGGGAGGGGGTGGAGAGGAGAAGGAGGAGGAGGGGGAGGAGGGAGGGGGTGGAGTAGGGGGGGGGACACCCGCCCCGCACTGCTGCGTAAAGTGGGCGGGGGATGCATTGCTTAGTGGCAGGAGCGGGGGGTGCCACACAGGCGATCCACGCACTCATCATCATCCTCCTCCTCCTCCTGCTGCTGCTGTGACGTGCTCGGGATAAACCCACGCTGTCATACGCCGCCGCTGCTGCTGCTGCTGGAATAACCTCTTAGGGGGTGCTGGGAAGAGGAGGCGCCCGCCCGCCCGCCTTTACTGCAGCGCTTAAACATTACAGATTAACACGGAGACGGGATAGCCCCGGCAGCTAATCCACGCGCGTGCGTTGTGCCCGGGACGCCGATCCGTGATTATTATTATGACTGTGTCAGCGTACGGAGGAGCAGCAGTAGCAGCAGCGTGCGTTGGTGGTGTTGGTGGTGCTGTCTAGCACAAGAACGCGTGCGAGCATCTCGAGAGGGAGCTGGTGGTGCTGCTGGTGGTGCTGCTGCTGGTGATCGTGGTGGTGGATTTTGCGCGTTGCGCGCCCCGACTAAACAACGTCTGAACTTCATTCAGAAGGTTGGTGCTCTCTTACTCTGGCGTTCACAACAGAGCTGTGTTGTATTCATAACGTATAAGTCAACTGCGTGGCTACTACATCTTTCACAAGGGAGGTGTAGATACGTCTATGCGCAGCGCGCGCGTGTGTGTGTATATATAGAAGGGTGGTGATGTAAAGGATTCTTTATTGAATTGACGAAACGTGTTTTGACCCGGGATAAGATGATCGCGTGTGTGTGTGTGATGCGATGTGCTACGAACCTGGCCAACCCGAGTTCGACTCCCAAGCTCACGGCCACCAAACTACCGGTGGCAAAATATCTGAACCGGTGTTTGTGCCTCCCCTAGGTCGACTCGGCCTTAAATGAGTTCATAACCTGGTGCGGCTACTGGCCAACCACACCACCTCGTGTGCCATGCCGGCCCTTTAATAGGTGCTCGCTAACAGCACTTATCCCAATAGTCGAATGCTTTGTAGGCGGGGGGAATCTTTGTATTTGTGATGCGTTGTAAGCGTTTACGTCGTGAAGGTTAACGCGCCTGTTGGGAGAGCGTGTTTATGTGCCATTTGACAACGTGCAAGCGCATTTGTCGATGCACCGCCGGACTAAGAGGACGTTGTTATAGGGGGTTGTTTGGTCATACTTCACCGCGATTGTCAGTGGTGGGTTGGAGAGGTTCGGGTAGCAGTCGCCACCGATGTTATCCGTGGCCGGGACTTGAACTCAGGTGGCCCCCGGGTTCACGCAAGCTGGGACAAACTGCGTCATTTCTTCCATGGCCATGGCATTGATACCGAGGTAGTTGTTAAACTTCATTCTCACCGTACGTCGCCAACCGTGCTAATCGAAGGTGTGCGGTGAGAAACGACAAACTAAACACGAAAAAACAAGATACATCTCGGAGTTCCACCAATGCACAATGAGAAAATGTTCTTGGCTTTTTGTGGCTAAATCGGACGAGGGCCGATGTGCGGTCATGTGCGCTGGTGATGTGCTTCACCATGAATGGGGTTGATGCCTCTTGAATATCCAACACGATTGGTATCGATTGATAAATGGCATAGAAGTGCTTGTTTTGTAATCTTGTCATATGATTATGGCGTCTTGGATTTTAACGAGGAGCAGAAAAATACGACGCAAATTATTCCAGAGTACAGCAACCTCAAATGGCAGTAAAATATGATTGATTGAGTTCTAATGACGTGCGCTGTGGTAACATGAGAACATCAATCTGAACTCTGAAGTTTCCTCAATTTACTTTTTATAGCGTCTCTTTACACAAAACTCCACCGTTGTTGTTTGGGGGGGGGGGGGGTGGCGCAGTGGTTAGCACACTGCGCTATAAACCATAACACCTGAGTTTGATTTCCGATCACGACCAGCATCAGTGACGAGTGATTACTGAACTGGTCCTGAACCCCCTCCAACCCCTGCCCCCTGCCCCTCCCCCCACATCAACAACCCGACCTGACCAGCGTGATGAAGTATGGTCAGAAAAAACCCCAATGAACATTACGGTGTGGGGAGACCTTCGTCCAGCAGTGGATTGACAAATGGCTTTTTAAAAAAAAAACCCGACGTTGACATTATTGTGTTGAGAAAACAGTTTCGTGCGGAGCATCGCAAGGTTAATTGAGAATGGGAAGGAATCCCATCGGAAGAGCGTGCGTATGTCTCTGTGTGGGGGCGTTTTATGACCTGCAGCTGTTGGACACACCCGAGTCAGTGTGGGAGTCTCCAGATAGGTTTTCCAAAGCTCTCTACACGAGCAACACGAATTGCCCTGTGCCTTATTTGGCTGGGTAGTTTGGTTGGCCAGCTACAAAGTGGTGCGTGGCTGTTATGTTGGTTTATTAGATTATCTTATGGCCAGGGGACTTAACCAGTTCACTTGACAGGTTTACTGGCTTCAGGACTTCGGTATGGTGGCAAGCTGACAGATCATATGGATGATGGGCTTTCGAGATACTATTGCTGATTGCTTAATGATTGGGTGGCTGGTTGGTCACCAATTTGGCTGTCCCTCTGGCAGATGAATCGCGTGGCTGTGCTTAACCGTTAACTGTGAGTGTTTGTAACATTGGACAAGGAAAGCTAGTCTTTGTATTCTGAGATTCCAGACTTTTACGGCCAGGGTCAGGCTTTCCTCTTGGGAGTGCCTGTGTTTTCTGGAAGCCAAAGGACATTCCACATGTGATCAAGAAATATTGATACAGGCATTACCATAGGCTGCTGGTTATTTGGAAAAAATATATTCCGTGAAAACAATCTAATATGTTTGTAAAATGTGCTTACAATGTGTACTATATTTTATAAATGGGGCTCACAGTACGAGGAAAAGTAATGTATTTTTATGAGCGTCAGTATGTTTTTTTAGGCCCTTTAATTCTAGAATGTTCATTGCAATGTTTGTCTTTCAGAAGAGAATATTGCATGAGGCCATAAACAGGACAAACACGTGTTTGACAAATGTACATTGTGAAAAGTAATTGAAGGGAATTCTCAGATAAATATTATTACATGCCATCTGCTGCTCATTATATTGTGCACCGCCCTGCATACGTGGTGCAGCATCAGTTCTGGACACCTAATTCTCTGCCAGCACAACGGAGTTCTACGTTTGTTTCCACACGAAGTAAAATGTAACCTTCCATTATTAACAAACAAAGCATTTCTTGATAATAGTTTATCTGGCAACAAAACTGACACCTTTTTTACGAGGAGTCATGTTTGCATAGACCACAATACCTGCAGTCATAATGCAAACAAAAAACATAACTCTGATAACGTATGCACTGTCCTTGAAGTTGATTGGTCCACACCCGAGACAGCTTTCCTTAGAGCCTAGTCTCACGTGGGTTGGACCAGATGACGCCAAAAGGCGCACAACTCAAAGACAATGCACCATCAAAGCATTTCTGGTACTACTTTGAGCTTCATAATCAGCCATTGTTTATCCGCTGCTGGATGAAGGTCTCCTCACAGCCTTGCCAACCCTCACATGCCTTCTGTACAGTATTGAATCGCATTGCTCGCATTTAAACTGATCTTATTGCTCCATTTATGCAGTGGTCATCTTTGCTTGCGTGTTCTCTCCCTTGACTGCCGTTCCATCACCAGTTTGTTTTTACAGCAGCCATCATCCATTTGAGTGGTGTCTCTTTGAGCCAAGCTCCCTTACTTTTCTCAACGGTCAATATGACGTCTGATTTGTGTTTGTGGCCTGATTCCAATGCTCCTCTCTCTGTCTTGTGGTGTAATTCCAAGTATGCATCTCCCCATGCTTATTTTACAAACTTTCCATATTGTATTCCATATTATTTGTGAATGTCCATGTTTATACATCTTATGTCAGTCCTATCCGGCATTATGTACTGATTGAAAACTTTCTTGCACAGGCATGTTGTGGTAAGCTGCTTCCTCCGTTCTGCTGTTCCTTGCCTCTCTTTCATCATTTTCATCCTGGATCTCCATCAGTCATAGAAATGCTCAAACACACCAAGGCAGAAGTAAATAAATCATCGCTGCTCGAAATCTTGCCCTGAAACTCAAAGGGTTAGCTTCGTACTCGCAGACTTATCATATTGAGCCAATGAGCTGCCTACAATCCTGGACCAAAATAGCCTTGCCTGCATAAGTACATTAGGAGAAGGCAAGTCACATAAGCTTGAACTTATACATTTAAAATGCCATCTGTACAGTGTATAAAATAAATAAGTACTTTCTCTTTTGATTATGCATTATGTTCATATGTATGATATTACAACAGTGCACTGATGTGTCTGTACCGCTGAGCAAAGATAAAATGATGCATTTCACTTAGGCAGATGCTCTTCTCAGCTGGTTTTGAGGTTTCCTGTGGATGTTGTCACATATTCTGAGTTTTCACTGACAGTAGCTTCTAGACTAGACAATATGAGGCATGCCAGTTTGAAGGCTTTCTCATTAATCAAAGCTTTGCCTGAGCTGAATGAATTCTTATTTTAGCACACTTCTCAGGCCAAGTCTTTAATTAAATACCTTTCTTTATGATGTGCGTATTGATTACATTTAAACATTCTACAAGGGAACTGATGGGCAAGCCAAATTAATAGAATGACAAATGGCCTGGCTGTGCATTGTTTACATTATATATGTATTCTTTATTTCAAAGTATGGCTGCAGGGTGTTCACATTTGCATCACATTGTTGTGCGATGAAAACTCGGCGAGTTTAATTATTAATCGGTGCCATTTAGAGCTCTGGATTAACATCTGTCCAGGTCTGTCTGGAACTTGGAACAAAAGGCAGGTCACTGTGGTGACCTTGTCACGTGTCGTGGCCTTGTCACCTGCTTGAGTGTTGAGTTGTTGTTGTCTAGCTGAGCCAGCCATATGTTGTCCTCTCTCAATTCGTTGAAACAGCTGAGTTTTAAACGCAACGTGTTAATTGGATTGTACTGTATGGGGGACTATGGGGGAGGCGGGGTGTTTGAGGGGGGCTATGCGAAGGTAATGTGCAGGTTAATAATTATTGAAGGGAAGTTACAACCTCTGAGATGGGAAACACTTGGATGAATTGCATGAATGGCGCGTTAATACGCTTGCCCAAGATTATATCAGTCATGCCACGAAGCCAAGCTATATTTAGAGGTAGGTACAGGTTATGAGTAACAAGAACATTCTTAAAAATGTCGTGTCAGAATTGTGATATGGAATTAAGTCTCTTCATCATGATAATATATAGGCTCAAAAGAAAGCTGTCTGGTGTGGACCAGCAGTTTCAAGGACAATGCATATATTATCAGAGTATGTTTTTGTTTGCATTCTGACCACAAGTATTGTGGTTAATTCAGACATGACTCCTTGTAAAAAAAGGTTTCAGTTTTGTTGCCAAAAAAAAGGGGAAAAATCTATTCTTAAATTAAGTAAACTAAGCTGAACAATACTTTTATTTTATTTTAGATTGGGCACAATGAGCGATATAGCTTTCTTTCAAATGCACAACCTGGCCACAAATGATAGCTCAAAAAAGTGG